TCCAGGTGTCTGCTTACAATACATAAGCTAGTTGTGTCTATTCACTGTCCCACGGTGTAATGTGGTTTGTTTTTCCTTTGCACTTTACGTGAAATCCTACAGCTCAGAAGCCATGATGTAGGTGGTTCTCAACTTACAATCGTTGGTTTCGTGACCGTTCCAAGTTACAACTGCACTGGCTTATGACCGGTTTTCACACTTACGACCATTCTAGCCTCCCGATGGTCACATGATCAAAATTGGGGTGCTGGCTAGCTGACATGTATTTATGATAGTTGCACTATCCTGGGGGTCACATGATCACCATGTGTAAACTTCCCAGCCAGCTTCCAACAAGCCAAGTTAATGAGAAGCCAGATTCACTTAACTCCTCGCTGGCTTAGCAATACTCAATCAAGAGAGCCACACTTTACATGTGATGGGGAAGACCTGGATTCAAATCAATCATTTACCCTATGTAGTTTGTGTCTAGACCTGGGTAGGCAACCTTGGCTCTTTTATGACTTGTGGACTTCAACTCCCAGAATTCCTGAGTCAGTTCTGGGAGTTGAAGTCCACAAGTCATAAAAGAGCCACGGTTGCCTACCCCTGGCTAGACTATTGCAAGCCATCCTAACATGCTGTTCCTGTCTGGTTTTGCCTCTGGAGTCAATTAGCTGTAAATTTCTCCCCAGTAAATTAGCAACTGCACGAAATCTGACGGGAATGGTGGTTTGATCCAGTCTTCATATTTTGCATCACCACCCCTCAGGTTTCAACAATTACAGGTAGTCCTCGGCTTACGATGCTTTGCTTAGTGACGGTTCCAAGTTACAACGGCACCGAAGTGAGTGATGACACTTTTTCACACGGTTGCAGCCTCTCTCTGGTCACATGATCAAAATTCGCACCCTTGGCAACTGGTCCATATTTATGACGGTTGCAGTGTCCTCCGGGGCTCACATGATCCCCTTTGGCGACCTTCCGACAAGCAAAGCCAATGGAGGAAGCCGGATTCACTTATCGACCGGGTTACTAACTAAACACCTGCGGTGATCCACTTAACAACTGAGGCAAGAAAGGTTGTAAAATGGGACAAAACTCACTTAAGAAATGTCTTGCTTGACCACAGAAATCTGGGGTTCAGTTGTGGTCGTAAGTTGAGGACCACCTGTATTAAGACTTCTTTCCGTCATGTTTCCTGTACCGGCACTCCAAGCGTGGCAAAGGTCTCTTCAGGCCAAACTGCCCCCTATTTTGCGGGCAACAGAACTTACCTATTTTGCAATTGGGCCCAATGACGCTGTTGGTTATGCAACATTTTTTGCCCACCGACGTTCCTTGCCCCACGAGTACGTTCTCTTCCAGCACGCTCTCCTGGCCCAGACTAACTTCAGCACCCCGGTAAATATTGTGGCGGGAATGAGTGCAGCTCTGCTTCCCATTGATGAAGTTCATCTCTGGGGTTATGGGATAGACACAACGTTGCAGAATGTCCGAGGACACCGACTCGTACATCGACAAATTGGAAACAGAGGTGCCGTATTCTTCTGAGGTCACGTACATATGGATCTGGTTCCCAAGGACCTGAGGAATAGAGAAGGGCTATTAAGAAAGACCTCAAATTTTCTGGTATTCTGTGATTCTGTAAGGATCTCCTGCTCGAGCAAGGGGTTGGACTAGATGGCCCTCCGAAGTCCCTTCCAACCTTCCACTGATTGTTCTCACTGTCAGGAATATTTTCCTTGGGATGTCATCTGGAACGTTACAAGTAGTTCAAGACTTACAACCATTTGCTTAGTGGCCGTTCAAAGTTACAACGGCACTGAAAAATGGATGATGATGATGATGATGAAGATAATAATAATAATAATAATAATAATAATAATAATAATAATAATAATAATAATAATAAAAGTTGGAAGGGACCTTGGAGGTTATCTAGTCCAACCCCCTGCTCAGGTAGGAAACCCTATACCATTTCGGACAAATGGCTGTCCAGTCTCTTCTTAAAAACTTCCAGTGTTGGAGCATTCACCGCTTCTGGAGGGAGGTTGTTTCACTGGTTAATTGTTCTGACTGTCAGGAAGTTTCTCCTTAGTTCTAGATTGCTTCTCTTCTTGATGAGTTTCCATCCGTTGCTTCTTGTCCTGCCTTCAGGTGCTTTGGAGAATAGCTTGACTCCCTTTTCTTTGGGGCAGCCCCTGAGATATTTATTGTCTTAATGTTTCATCTTGATGCTTTTGTCAACTGTAAGCAGCCTAGAATCACCTCTATGTGAGATGGGCGGCATGTAAGTTTAATAAATACATAAATTAATAATTTTTGTGCGATTGTGGCGGCCTGTAGGTTTAATGAATTATTACTGTTATTATTAAGGTGTCTTAGCTTCTGCAAATCATCAGGAATCAGTAAGAATCTGGTCTGGAATTTGGGTTTTTAAGAAGAGACTGGACAGCCATTTGTCTGAAATGGTATAGGGTTTCCTGCCTGAGAAGGGGGTTGGATTAGATGAGTTCCAAGGTCCCTTCCAACATTATTATTATTCCCACTACATATTTACCTCTTCATTCACCAACAAGCCACGTACAAAGTCATCCCGAGTTTGATAATCAAAATTATCTGTAAACAGCTCGGTCACCTACAAGGGAAGAACAAAAAAGGTTGTTTTTCTAATACAACTTTAAATGTTATAATTGTGTCTGAAACAAGAGTGTCTCAACCTTTGGCACGAAGAACTATGAATGTGTCTCATCCAAAGTATAAACTGAAGTGCAAAAAAAAGGAACACGGAGGGCACCAGAGGGAGTCCTCAATTTAGAATATTTCATTTAGCGCCCATTCAAAGTTAACAGCGGCACCGAAAAAAAGTGACATGACTCTTTTTCATACTTACAACCGTTTCAGCATCAAAAACGGCAGCTGGCACGTGTTTACGAGGGTTGCGGTGTCCACCCAAGCATGGTTAAGCAAATTATAATTTGGCACGATGAGAGAATATAAGCAAGGTCTGCTCGTAATTCCTGATGCTTTTTGTACCACCTACCTGGGGAGAACAGATGCTAATATGGCAGTCTAGCAAATCGTTCCGCACTTGCACTTCTTCGACGTGGCTGTGAAACAAGCTCTAGAAGAAACAAACAAAAAATACAGTGAAGACCTACATATATTCATTCGCTGCCAAAGCGACTCTCTGCGAGCTGGGAATGGGTCTCTTGAAGAGACTAGAACAGGGCTTTTCAGCCAGTGGTACGGGTACCACCTGTGGTACATTGGCACCTGGCAGGTGGTACGTGACCATCCTAGAAAAGTGGTAGCGGGGGAGGGGAATGAGCTGAACCGGTGGCAGCACCGCACAAGCCTGAGCAAGAGATGGTTGGAGCTGCAGGGCTGTCAGGGCTCAGCGGAAGCCCCAGGATCAGCGCTTCTTCGGGAGTGTCAGGGCTCAGTGGAAGCGCCAGGATCGGTGCTAGGCTCCAGCTGGAGCTCGGCGCTGATCCTGGCGCTTCTGCTGAGTGCAGAAGAAGCGCCAATCAGCTGGAATGTTGCAGCCTCTCCAGGGTCTTGTGATTTACATTCAGATGCTTGGCAACCGATTCATATTTATGACGGTCACAGTGTCCCAGGGTCATGTGAAGTGACCAAAACCTGCTGCAACCACCCAGCAGACGGGGGAATAAAAACCAAACACCCCCACCCCCACTGCCAATTCTCAACAGAAATGCTCACAACAATGAAAACCTCGGACAGGAGGAAGAGCGCCGCCAGGTGGGCAGGCAGGTGTCTTGCTCGGCTGTGCCTTGGGGGGCACTTTTTTCAGTGCCATTGTAACTTCGACTACCTGTACTTTATAACTTTTTTCCTTTTTTTGGTCATCAAGTTTTTGACACCTTGCTAGGCGACTGGTGGCATTCGGATATTACCATATCCTAAAAGTGGTACAATGGGTGAAAAGGTTGAAAAGCCCTGGACTAGAACAGACCATGGGGGGGGGGGGAATCACACGACAGCCACCCAGGGCAATAGCAATTATATACCGCTATGTAGTGCTTTTACAGCCCCTCTCTAAGCGGTTTACAGAGTCAGCCTATTTGCCCCCAACTATCTGGGTGCTCATTTTACCGACCTCGGAAGGATGGAAGGCTGAGTCAACCTTGAGCGGGTCTGGATCGAACTGCTGGCAGTGGGTAGACTAGAAGACCTCCAAGGTCCCTTCCAACTTTATTATTATTATTACGAGTATCTGCTTTATCTCCTCACTTATATGGGCTAGTCTAACAAAATGGAGAATCAGTTTCACTTATAAAATCGTTTTGTTAGTACTTGCATTCAAGCTGTCCCAAGAGGACAGTGAACCAAAAACCAAGCTAGCTACCTCTTAAAAGTACATTTTTATATTAATCCATCCTTTAGTCCTACAGTGAGCATTGATAATCCAAGCCTGATCTAGAATGAACTGCCCAAGGCCACCGGCCAATCCGAATTGATAACCAATTCCTAATCTATTAATACAGTGGAATCTCAGTACTTATTGTTAATTGGTTCCAGGAGATGATGGGTACAGAGAAATGATGAGCACCAAACAAATTTTCCCCATAAGGAATAATATAAAAAAACCTGAATGCGTTCCCAAACCACATTTTAAGCCACTATAGAAAAAGATAGGCTTTGTATATCATTGTTTGACATGAGAAATAAACCTGAAAATTAATAAACACTTAAATAAAATAAAAATATTTTATCTGTACTGATGAGGGGAAATAAAGGTGCAAAAATACATAAGATGACCACAGAAGCTAAGATGGCGGTTGGGACCCCCAGACTTATAGTTATGGGGGATCTCAACCTGCCATCGGCGGGTGAAACGTCGACGGTGGCTCGGGAGTTCTTGGCCTCCATGACGACCATGGACTTGACCCAATTAGTTCATGCCCCCACTCACACGGGAGGACACACACTAGATCTAATTTTTGTCTCTGGCCAGTGGCAGAATGATTTGGAAATGGGGGAGATAAATATAGAGCCCTTGTCATGGTCAGATCATGCTCTCCTTAGGATGGACTTCCGGACCGCTTCCCCCCGCCGCAGGGAGACGGAACCGCCTAGATGGTTCCGTCCCAGGCGCCTGATGGACCCGGAGAGGTTTCTGACGGAGCTTGGGCCATATCCGGAGGATCTAGGTCACGACTCGGCGGA